AACCATGTGCTGGCAGTGTCATCATATTGTGCTACAGTATGGGAGTTTCTGCCACATGCTTATTGAAAGCTTTTAAGATATTTGATCATCTGAACTTTTAAAAAAAAATCTTTTTTAATTACCGTTCTTTTTCTCCTCAGCCCCTCAGGAGCTGTTTTGCTTATATGGGTGAATATGACTGACAAAGAAAGAATAGCTCTAATTTTTAATTATTTTTTTACGTCAGAAGTTTACAAAACCATGCTTCTTAATGGCCAACTTACAAAAATAATGTCCTTCATATTGCCATAAACATCTGTGCTCTAATCTGTTAGAACTTCCATTTGTGCTGTAAATGCTGAGTTAATATATTTAAGGCTTTTTCCCCCCCTTTATCTATTATCTATCTGTTGTTTAAATACATAGGTAAGTTCTGTTTAGGAGGTGCCTGCTGGATTGTGTAGTATATTACATACCCTGTCACCTAAACCAAAACACATTTCACTGGGTTTGGAAGCGAGAAGACATTTTATGTTTGGCAAAGGAGAAGCATTAGTTTCCATTTTGTGTGATGTTTAGCATTGTTTGCTGGGAGGTGAGTCAATGACTTGAATTAATTATAATTACTGAAGAGACATATACTGATTGAGCAAATAAAGTAGTAAGCTCATTCGTGCCAAGGCCATCTAATTAAATGCTAACTTTGGGTAAGCTAGATGTGCATGAAAGATTAATTTTAAGAGGTTTTTATGACTCCCACTAAATAATGATTCAGTAAAGTCTTTGCATTATATCATTAGAACATCTAATCTTAAAGTGATATAACATTTAGTCACAGAACTCTCTTGTGCAGAAAGATGCAGTAAATTATTATTGTTGAAAATTAATCACGTTTCTCTAAGAAATGTTTATAGACTTTGTTTTAATTCTCTGCTGTGGTGTGTGGTGAAGCAGATCAAAAGTGAGAAGGATACAGCACACACTTTTTCTCGGTGACTATTTCATTAGCTCCCCTTGGTGCAGGTACTTCAGAACTGTGTTTAGGAGGAAGTTGTCCTCGGAGTGGACAAGGTGTACCAAACATCCTAGGTCATGGAGAGGAATATTAGTGGCCCCACAATATTCAAGATCTAAATCTCCTGGTATTGGAGGGGAGGTATCTATTTTCTCATGGACTGTGATTAAAAGGTGATTTCAAATCTTAGAAAGACTTCTTGGGTTGAAAGAATCAATAGAGTTTAAGTACGTATTTTTTTGTTCTTTAATTTAACATACTGTGTTAATATTTAAAGCATACAGATTTTTGTTACTATTATCTATTAATAAATTAATCTATGTTGATTTTTCTATAAAATATAGATATCTATTACATATTAAAATATATGCAGCCAGTGAAGGTCATTCTACATGCAGTTTCCCTGTCACAGTTGTAGTACCAGCATTGATATAATTAAACACTGCAGCTCACAAATACAAGCCTAGAAAAGCCATGAATATTCATCATTTGAGTTGCCTGTCATATCCTTCACTCATACACTTGTGTTTGGAAGTACCAGCAACAGAGTTACGTGCTGGTGACACTACTTATGTTTTTGTAATTAGCCCAACTGCTGTTGTGTATCACCAAATAGTACTGTACTGTTTTGTGGCAGTCTATTTCAGACCACGAGGCAGCGTGGATTCACAGGGGCAGTGGCCTTAGATACCAGCTTATCCTTTCAGAAGAGTTCCTTCAGTTTCTTAATATGAGTATCTTTCCTAAGCTTAGCAAATGCTTGTTATCAAAGTGCATGAATATGCCTTGGTCTGCTTAAATTAAATTATAAAAAATAGAAAGCAGCAAGTTTCTGAATTTGGCAGACTGTACTTCTCAGCAATGTCAAGTAGCAGACATAATTCTGTGCAACTCTTGAATAGCAGCATAAAAGAAGAGCTGGAGTGTGCCAAAGAACTATATGTGCCAACCACCAAGAATTCTGATGACAGGGATAGAGAAAACAGAAATATGAAGAAATTGATTTGTGTGCACATCATATTAGCAGTAATTTGGGAAATAGTATCCCTGTGTCTTTTCCTCTTCCAGCCTGTACAGCACCTTGTCCCCTCCAATGAATTGCAGATGGTGAAACATCATCTTTGCTTTGAGTGAGATGAAAATGCTCTAGAAATAGCAAATGGACATTTTCAGAAGATCAGGCAGTAGAAGAGCACTAGGTAGATTTAAAAGGATCCATTAATAAAAATAAAATTAAAAAAATTTCTAAGATCTGTTGTGTTTCCTGTGTATCCAGTTACTCCTCGCTTCCTTAAAGGATTGGTGGACTATAATATTTCTAACAGTAAAAGCTTAATGGAATCAGATTTCTGATTTCCTAGAAAATTAACGAGATATTTTGTCAATTTTATTCCAGACTTCATTTGTCAGAATATACAGTGTCCAGTGACGAGCTAAAAGAATTTTTTGACAAATTAACTATGCCACAGGTGACAGATCAGGAAAATGTTAATTTAACAGCCCCTTTATGCTTCCCAGATTTATTGGAGGCTATTAAGGAAGCTCCTAATGGTGAAGCCCCTGGCCCTGAATAGATTTTGCATTGAATTTTATACAGGATCTATTAATAAAGTTTGATGCTGCCTTTTTGAATATAGGTAATTGTACTTTATCTTCTGGGTCTCCTCAGCTTTTACAGTTGGAATATGATTTTTAGTTGGGAGAAAAAAGTAGTTATGCTTCCAGTAGTGTGTGTAATCTGGTTGTGAATGATTCCTCCTAAAGAAGAGACTACGAGCACTGTATAAAACCCACAAGTTGTTGGTAGTTACATCCAGCGTGGCTCGGTCTTTGACTCTTGGCCACTGAGACTAATAACTGAATCCCTTTTATTCGTCCCATCACCTACAAATCCTTACCCTAATAAGCTTTGCACAGGTAAGTAATTGAGCTCAGTGGGACTTCCTGCACAATTAATATTTTGCAGGACCAGACTAAGTGTATGGATTTGTTCTGTCCTGTAGACAGGTACCTGATGGTTTGGATTTCCAAAGCTGACTCAGAACAAATACCATTAATTTGCAATAAACACAGTGGAGGTTCCCTCCAGGCCCCTCTGACTTGGTGACTGATCAGCCTACACTTTGACCTACTTGTTTATAGGCTGTTCTAGTGCTTCCTACCTAATGTGGCAATGAATGTTCTAATTATTAATAGCAAGTCTAACTGGCTTGCAAATTTTGGGTTTCAGCCTCTCTAATATCTAATGGCAATCAGTTTTACAGTCCTCCTAATGAATAAAAATATTTCATTTTTTTGAAGCTCTTGAGTGTGATAGTGATGCTTTTGATCCATTTCTGAGTCCTGCTGCTGTTGGTATTGCTCAGAGAGCAGCTGGGATCCCAGTTCCTGTCCAGATTACCCCTGCCTTAAGTCACCTGTCATCCTCATGCTGAGTGTTTGGGGGCAGAACAACAAAGATATGAGTAGTGGATTTTGGACAAGCAAGATGATAAAAAATAGACTGGAGGAGGTGCAGGAGATTTAGAGAGGGGGAGTAACAAAGACAAGTTTTTTAAAAAACAGCAAAGACAAAGCAACAGCACAGGGCAGAGAAGAAAGATGCCCTGTGAAAAGAAGACAAAGGTTAGTTACCATCTTATTTGTGATAGCTCAAAGTTTGGGGTGCCTAGAATCTGTTTATTTTAGAAATACATGTGTTCACTGGATTATGAGGTTATAAACTAGTCTGTGATTGTAGCAGTAGCTGATGGAATAATCTGGTCTATTTGGTTACTAGTTGCAGGTCTTGGCTCATTTCTCCGTTCGCTGTTCCTGTGCTGTGTACATCAGTTGTGAGCTTGGCATCGACTCTCACATCTGGTTGTCAGTTCTTCTTGGGTTTTCCATTATCAGGACTAAGCCTCGTGCATGTTTCTGTGCCCTCTAGTTAGTGGTTATACTGGAGCAAAGGCAGGGTTAGGCTTTGAGACTGCTGGTTCATTAGCTGATACTAGCTTAGCTCCCCTTAGAAATAATAGGAGAGCAAGAGAAGGAGGAGAAAGAAAACAATAAACCCTTATTTTTTTAGCAGTTTTGTTGTGTTAATGATTTCCTTGGTGAGGTTGTGGGTGGTATCTCAGAAGGTCCCAGGCACACTCACTCACCTGAAGGCTTCTTAAGGCTTATCCAGACAAGGTGAAGGAGTTCTGTTACCCTGAATAGCCTCTTATAATGAGTAAACCCAAATTATTCTTATGTTAAAAATGGGAGGAGGAGGAAGAGGAAGCATCTGTGCTGCAAAAATACTTTCTTAAAAAACAAATACATTATGTTTGGATGGATTTTAATAATACCCTTAGCTATGATGACATGAATAACTTTAACTTCCAATTATTTCTCTAATTTATAATCACACTGAATGATCAAATGGGTTTTAACAATATACTGCAATTAGCACATGGCATATAACTCCCTGTTTTATACTGTTATTATAGATTTATAGTATTGAATCCTTTTATTCTGTTACTTAGAATTCCAAGTGATTAATTTGAATAATACTTTCTTCTCTCAAGACCCGTACATGTATAGAGATAGATGGAGATAGTTACATCAGGGGTGCTTCTGAAGAGGGGATCCATGAGCTTTCCAAGTGGTGGGAAAGTGCAGATGAAAGCAGAAATATAGGATTAAATGCTGATTAAAACAGTTCTGAAATTTTATATAGGCTTGTCAATTCTCTCCTCTCCCCATCCCACCCTTTTTGGGGGGAGGATCCTGCAAGTGAAGCTCAGACTCTGTGGAAACCTGTGAAATCGTTGCCAAATATTTCATATCACTTTTACAGATACATTAAACAGCAGTGAAATAATTGGAATTTAGATATTCAAGCTTCTTCCAGTTTTAAGTTGTAGCACTGTATTTTAATTGTTCTACTGGAAAGAATTCCATCCCCACCAAGTTTTATATTAGCTCTGTCATACTTTTTTTTTAATCTACATTCTAATGAAATATATTTTCTCAACAGGGTCATGTTGGTACAACAGCAACCAAAAAAATTGATGTCTACCTCCCGCTGCACGCAAGCCAAGACAAACTACAGCCCATGACCGTTGTGACAATAGCCAATGCCAAGGTGCATGACCTGATTGGACTAATATGCTGGCAATATACAAGTGAGGGACGGGAACCAAAACTGAAGTAATGTTCTTTCTTTACTACCTCTTGATCTCTAATTTTCTCCCCTGCAGCCTTTTTGCGTAATGAAATAGATTTCCATGTCAATGTTTTTACAGATAAATCTTAGAGAAAGCACCTACACATTTATCAGCATTTCCTTTTGAGCAGTACATGTGCACCTACATCCATTTCTCTTTCAATTAAACTACTGGGTGCTGTTTAATGATAAGCATAGGAAACCATGAGTCTGTAAATGAATCATAATTTCAAAACGCTCTGTTTAAAAATAATAAATCTTACTTCTTTTGGTGTCACAGCAACATATTTTATTTTATGTCCAATCTATTTTTTGGTACTGTTCTTAACAGCTAAGATCACAAGGATGTCAAATAAAACCCAGAACTTGTCTGCAACTCCTTCTCGTTTCTCCCAAAGGAAGGTGCCCAGGCCCTGACTCTGGTCTCGCTGCACAGTGCCAGTTCCTCCTGCAGATCCACAGAGAGGAACCACTGCACTGGGTGACTCTGTGTCCTGGAGGTACTGTTAGTGTTCCTCTGAAGCCATGGAATACATTTTGGCCACAGGGAGTGTGCCTGTAGAGAAGTCAGAATTCTGTCATTGAACTTCAGCATGATCACTGACTTGCTTTCTGCTGTCCTAATGACTTTAATTCATTATACACGTTAAATTCTTTCCACTTTCCCAAGAATTGGCAAATATAGGGGCTAAAGGTGCTTTTCTTTCCAGGTTATCCTGGAGATAACAGTAAAAAAAAAGTGTAAGTAAGAATCCTGAAAGCATAATAAATACCATTTTTCTTCAAAATTGCAAATAAAATTGCATTCTTTAATTCAGAAACCTCTGTCATCTAGTATTTTACAATTTCTGCAAGACTTTGACCTCAGTCACGTTGACTTTTTTGCTGCAAAGAGCAACTTCCCTCTTATCCTCAGAAATTGTAGCTTCAGTTAATCAGTGGATTTTTCAGTACCTTTGTTAGTCATTGCTTACATCTCTGTTGTGTAAGAATTCTGCCCCTAAGATTTCTGTGACCAAGTAATGGATTTGATGTGCAGGAGAACTAGAGCAGTTTATCAAGAGCAGTTATTTTATCAGGGCAGGTGACAAAAGGTACAGGTAGTAGAGAGCCACTCATCGAGCAGCTTTGCTCTTAAAACCATTCTGTAAAATACTTCTGGTTTTGCTGGGTCGTAGGACATAAAATAAGAATTTAAAATAGTTTATTATAGAATCATTAGTAACAGATGGTAGCAGGTCACTTTCCTGGTGCAAAGAAAGTTAATAGTTTTGCTTGGTTTTTTTCTACATGAGCCAATTTTCACTTTGTTGTTCCTGGAATATTTGATGAAGGTGTTTTTTTCTTCGTACTGAATTTTAGAGTTTGCTCTTCCTGCATTTTGCAGAAGTGTTCGAGGACTCCATAGTCTTTGCTTTTGATGGAAGCAGGAAGGGGAGGCACTGAGAGGTCGCTGGCACTGCCCTCATTTAGGATCAGCTGGTTTCTCTTTAGCAGGTATAGGGCAGCACAGGAAAGCAGCCCCTCCCAAAAACAGTTCCATGCCTTTGATGTAGGATTTCCCTTAGCCCTTCCCAACAGACATGGCATGGTTCAGAGGTTAAACAATTCCATTTGACTTTTTTTTTTTTTTTTACAGTGGAGCAGAACTATAAAATTATTTGCAGATGGTACCATTTTACTTGCTGTTATTAATTTCTGTTTATTATAGCTTTAAAACAATGTCCTTTGTGTATGATTAGCTTATATTCTAACGAGTAAGACACCACTGATGTCAATCTTTGGACACATGTCTGTTTTTCAGGAGCATAGCACACCTCAAATGGAACAACACCCATGAGTAGAGGTATCCTGTGAACTATCATTGCCCACAGCAAAAGTTAGCAGTGGGAGGAAATGAATTTCACTGTCTGCCTTGAAGGATAACACGTTATGATGTGTCAAGGAGTGATCATGACCAAGGAGCCTGTCTAATGTAATCAAATCTCAGGACAGAAATAATAAAATAAATAATGGAGGCATGAGTTCCCCAGAACAGTCTTGACAGCAGCAATTGAGAATCTTGGTACAAGTACTCGGAGGAAGGGGCAGAGCCTCAAGACTCCAAAACTCTTGTTTTCTTGTGTAGTCCTTAATTATTTCTCTTGACTCCATCATCTTTTTTTTTTTTTTTTTTACTGTTGCTGACTGCCAGTCCTGTCGCAAGGATTGATTTAACTATAAACTAGTTCTTATCACTTCCAAATAAGGAAAGAGCTTATGTAGGCTGCACATTCTATACTTCTATTTATTCCTGATTTAGTAAGATTTATAGAGTATAAAAAGAAAAAATCGGGATCTTTGTGACACTGCACTAAAATACGTATAGAGTGCTTCAAATCTGATACACAGCACGTGCAGAATGACAAATGTACCTACCAGTAACACAATTTGAGAATAATGAGGAGGTTGTAGACTTTGTAATTAAGAAAAACAACCCCTCTGTCTTTAGAAAAATAATATATTGCTGCCTAATTCTTTTTCCTAAAAGGAAGATGTAAGAGTCTGAAGTGAGTGAGTATTAGTTGACAGCTTTGAGAACATTTTGTATTCAGTGAGGCTGCCTTTTTTATTATAATGGCATTCTATTTGTCTCTATTCAGTGTCTTGATATGAAGAACCACTGACAGTGTTAGCAACCCTGTTCCTGGCCTCTTACACGTGAACTTTGGTCATAACCCAGTGGACCGTTCTCTTGCCAACCCCTGACAGATATGCTGTAATGATTCTGCCTGCAAAACATAAACAAATTCCCTTTCTAGGAATAAATGAATAGTGAGATGCAAAATTCAAATAAACATCTTATTTTTGGAAGTTAAGAATGCTGTTACATTTGTCAGTTGTTGTGCTTAACTTTTACATTCTGTCCATAGCAAAGCCTGATTCTCAAGACTTTGAACCTTATAATTTGAAGCCTAAAGCTGGGAAATTTGAGCTCATCCTGGTGGAGGTTCAAAATGAGGAATGGTTTTGGACTTGAACTTGGGTTTTCAACAAATTGACTAAATCTGTGCTGATGTTCAGGAACCAACTCCACCTTTGAAGACATTTGTAACCCCTTTACATTTATGAGATTTAACTGACATTGTGTATTTTCAGTGAAATTGGTGGAAGATAAGTTTTTGTCACCACCATCCTTTTTCAGCACTTGGATTTCTTTAAGATGACACTGATTGTGTTCTGTTGCCTGCATGCCTATATGCTCCTCTAGCTTTAATGAGAATTATGCAAATGCATCAAGTACCAAATTAAAATGTTAACTTTATTTATACAGAGCTTTAAGTGCACGCCAGGCTGCACACCAGGAGAATTGTGTCAAACGAGGAGGCTGGAAATCAGCGGTGAAAGGCCCAGGCTGAAGCTGTGGGGTGGGGGCACCAGGGGGCTGTTCCCACTGGGAAGTCTCGTAGTGTGGGATGACTTCTGGGTTACTTAGGACAGGACAGAATGAGCATGCAGAGCTTGGGGTTTGTGTTCGTAGAAATCTAAACAATAGGAGAAGGACCCAAAAATCACACCAGACGACTCTCATTACGTAAGAAGGACCAACTCTATCCACATTATGCTCAGCCTTTTTCTCCAGCGTGTTGATGAGAGCCCTGGAAGCGTGCAGCCCACACACCCTCCTGGCTGCAGGCCTCCTCTGCTGCTCAGAGCCTTGGCGCTCCATGAATCCCCTTCACGGCACTACCTTTCACCATGTTCCCTAGAAGTTACTTAAGCAGTCACTAGTTCTACAGCAATGTTCCAGTCCTTCACAACAGTCCAGAGACTGGTGGAAGTTTCTTCAATAGCATTGCAGAATTTTCAAAATTGGTAGTGACAAACATTGCTGGATTACCTTTTTGTTAGCAAATTTACAGCTTACATTAATAGTAATGTGTCATTATTACCTGTTTTATATAATAAATGTCTTAGTGATGACAAGGTGCATATAGATCACCTGGACTAAGCACTCTCAATAAAGCAGAGTTGCAACCAAAGGTTTGTGAATTAATTGAGAAAATTGCAAATCAGGTAGTCAGTGAAATAATTCATTGTCACATCCAATCAATAAACTTTGTAAATCAACTCATTTAATTCAAAAAATGATCTATATAGATCAAGCGACCAATTAAACAATTAGCATACACTTTGCAATTAATTAATTTAAGCATCAATCATGCAATTAAAACTCCAGATTTGAACTGCAGAGTTTAGAAACACACGGCCACGTGAGCGTTTGCGCTGTGCTTCGTGGCTGTGGAAGATGCCTGAATGCTGGCAGATTTACTGTAAGAAAGCATACTTACTTTCATTTCAATAATATAAATATTAACATTTGAAATATATTTTAACATTAAGAAATGTTATTAATACCTGTTTGGTATATGTAGGTATTTATTTCCCTATGGACTTTGTTATGTTGAAAGAAAGAGGCTTAGATTTTTCTATTGTATTTCTTTTACACTGTATCAGTTTAAAACTTCCTGTGCTGTTTTGTTCTGCTTTTTAGTCTATACTAATTTTTAACTGCTTTTAGTGACTGGATTTATTAGATACTTAGGAAAGGTAGACTTTCTGCTAATCATTGCTACTGTGCTGAACAGATTTTTTACTCTTCCTGTAGTTTACATGTCTGAGAGAAATCTCAGCTTCTCAAGACTCCATGCAGTGAACTCTTTCACCGTTGTTTGATCTATGAAGGAAATAGATACTGCTCGTTTGTCTTTAATTATAAAATGTAATGGTCATATAAATAAATAAATTTTCATAAATTCATAACTTCCAGCTTTATGAAGTCATGAATTACAGACTTTAGTATATTTTAATCACTGTCAGTTTTTTGCTTGCAGTTCAGTTAATGGTGAAGTAAGGTGCACCACTTTACTCTGAGGTTTTGGGGTTTTTTTTCTATGACCACATGGTTATGGTAGCAAAATGTGTTGGGACTTTGTTGGGACATATTTATACACATGCCATCAGAGGCCTTTAATATTAGTCCTTTAACAGGTGCATCTGCTGATGTGTTTTCTACAGCATTTGGTGATCCATTGGCTGAACTGAGTTGGCTCTCTGGCTTCCCTCCTGAATATCCTTCCTTTGTCTTGGTTTCAGCGACAACGTCAACGCCTACTGCCTCCACATTGCTGAGGATGACGGGGAGGTTGACACGGATTTCCCACCCCTGGACTCCAACGAGCCCATTCACAAGTTTGGGTTCAGCACTCTGGCGCTGGTTGAGAAGTACTCGTCCCCCGGCCTGGCCGCCAAGCAGTCGCTCTTCGTGCGCATGTGAGTACGGGCGCGGAGCTCCCCGCGGGCCGGCCACAGCCCCCTCCCCTCTGCTCCTCAGCTGAGCTCGGCAGACTCCGGGGGCTGTGTGTACTCTCCATTCTCTGCAGACAGCGCCCGCTGTGGGCTTGGTCGTGGGGTGGGTAGAAGAGTAAATGCTGCTGGCAGCAGCTCTGGTGAGCCCGTCACCTGAGTCTGAAACTACAAAGGAGAATAAGCCCTGCTGCCTATGGCTAGTGGGGAACACTGGACTGTTCCACTCCCACTAGTAAATATTTGGAATTTACACAAATTCTGAGCTTATCGTTTGCATTTTGCGCCAGCCCCGTGCTGGGTATTTGGGCAGAATAATGTAATGAATTTATATAGTAGCTTCAGAGAGTTAAAATTATCAAGTCATTCCCTTTGAATATTCAGAGCCCTTTTCAACAGGTATTAGGAAGTGGTCTTGCTAGTGACTTTTTCATTATTTTGGGAAAATCTATTGAATTTTAACTGAAAAAATTCTTGGTGTTTGGATATCCCACATATGAGAGACTTCAAAAATCTTCTTTCAAAGCCTGATAGACAAAGTAGTGCATTCACATTATAAGACTGGTTAGTGGACTGGAAAGCAAATAATTTTAAATACGGACAGTTGCAGAGCACATTAATAACAGTGCAGCAGTTCAGGAGAGGAACGTGCCGTAAATGAGCGTGCCAGGTAGGACAGGACAGGACATGCCACTCAAAAGTCCAGAAGAATTATGAAGAGGAAGAGCCCATTCACCACTGAAGCTTGAAGCTGCTTGGTTTATGGCTCAAGAAGGATTTCCTATATCATTATCAGTGCATTGTTAGTGTTTGAGTCATGTGTGCTGTGCTTGATCACTTTTTTATTTTTCTTGTGAGTGAAAAATCTTTTAAACCCCTCAGAAGACCTTAATTGGTATAACAAAATACTAGTAGCATAAGCCACTTCTTCCTTGGGAAAAATATTTCATGTTTGGGTCTCTTGAAATTAAAATGCTAATAGTGTTTTCCTGGTTATTGGACATTTTAAAAATTTATGCAGGATTACTTACATTTCATAACCATACAGCTGCTTCCAGTTTTGAATAATCAGACAATTAAAAAAAAAATTTACCTATTTAATTACATTTTTTATCCTTTTTTGTGTACTGTGTTCTTAGAGATTTTCTAAAGCATCCTACTGACAGAAATCTCCAGAAATCCCATGTGTGTTTCCTAAAGGCCCATTCACTTTGTTGCACTGTGTTAGGTCACTGGAAAAGAGAATATTCTGTCAACGGTATTTACAAATAAGTTATTCAAGGTAAACACATTCAGCTCTGTTGGGCTGGATACTGTCGTGTGGAAGGTTGTGCAGGGAGGAGGTGAAGTCATCTGGCCAGTCATGTTACAAGGTCCATTTTTGGTTTGTGCAGTTCCAGTAACACGGCTGAGCCAGGCAACTGACTTTCCTGCCTGTGGAACTCCAGAATATCGAGTTCCTTCCACCTCACTGGAGACTGCTGCATGTTTTCTCTGAAGGAGGGAATGTCTCCTTCACCTGCATGCGTTCCTCTGGGTCAGTGCTATTGGTATGAACTTGATAATTTCTTTTTTTTTCCATTTAATGATTCTATGGTTGTTTTACTTTCAAGATAATCCTGCATTTTCAATATCCCCAGAAAAATGTCAGCAGGTATATAGAAAATTCTATTCTAATTCCATGCGATCAGAAACGATGGTGAGTGTTGATTGCAGGTAGAGCAGTTAAGAAGCCTGTGTCATTGGAAGAGTCTAAACTGTTGGTGATTGCTCATCTGGAAAAAGTCCCCTTTCCTTCTCAGCTGCCTCTTACCTAAATCCCTGTTGCCTGTACTCAGTACATAAATAGGGTTTAGTATTTAAATGCAGTGAACACGCGTGGTCACAGATTTTGGACGTTAGCTCAGAGAAGGTGGAACTGGTGTCCCATGTGGAGCCCCGAGACCTCAGCAGGCTTCTGGCCTGGCTGGCAGTTCTCTGGCTGCTCCTTGTAGCAGGATTAAGGTCCCGCTGCAAATCCTGCAAAGGAAATCAAAAGTCTTTTGCTTGAACATAACTTGTGCTCATCTGAGGACCTTCCTTCTAACTTGGGAGGTCCTGCTGATTAGAAATAAGGACTACATCATAAGAAGTAGTGTTCTTCTGAGAGGGTTTGGGTGTTTTTTCTGTGTCCACGTGCTAACTTGAAATGGCTTGTACTCCCTCTGTAAACAGTGATTTGTAAATAGTTAGATTTATATTAGAATTTTTAATGTGTCCTCTAGAATAGAGAATGACTTGTTGAAAACACTGTTACTTCTGTGAGTTTAAATGTGTGTGCTGTCGTACGATCGTAAGGATTTGTTGTAAATTCTACATCTTTTTCCTTCCCTGTCATCCTACTAGTGCATGTAATTGTGGTTTTATGTTTAGCCTTTCTTTTTTTCCTCCTCATGCTGAAGTATTTCAGCTGCTGCTGTGTCAGGCTTGTGACTTGTATTGTTTATTAATATTGAATCACTGTCAAAAAAAGTTGATGCTTCTGAGAAGCTTCGTGATGGAGCACGGTGTTGTGTTTCAGCTCTCGCCTGTCCTGTGTGTTGGATATATTTCAGATGTTGTGCAGTTACCGAGCTGACAGTTGTGGAACCTCGCCAGGGTCAGGACATGTTTGAGCAGAAACAGTTTGCAGAACTTTATACGCTTAGACTCCTGCCAAGGCAAACTCTTAGCCACTTGAGTTGGTTATAAATACCCAGTGGTGGAGGTTGGAAGTAGCCCACAGTGCATTTTATATTCTGAGCTGAATGTGAATGTCTTTGTGGCTATATAGAGTAGTAAATAATTGAGTTTGATTAGGGAGAGGGACCTCATTATCCCCCCACCTGTGCCCAGCTGGTAGGGGAGGGTCGAAATGAAGCCATTAGCTGTCTCTCTTACTGGCATCTCAAAGAGCTCAAATACATCTGTGTCTTATTTTCCTTTCTGGCACAATCAGTCGAGCAAGCTAAGCAGGCATGACCGAATTTGGCAAGTTCCAAGGACTCTGGCAAAGTTACACAAGGAGAAGACGGAGGGCAGTCATTCTGGCTTCTAACTGCCCATTAGTCTAGCGAGTTATGTTTTTGGAAAATGTCTGTTGTGGAAAGCAGTACTTTGTGCAATGTCAAACACGGCATTCGCAAACAGCCCTCTCTGATGCCGAGTAGGATCCGTCAGGAGGAGTCAGACAAAGCACAGCATTCATGGAAACGCAGACTTCTTGAGATGATGAAGTAATACCTGAAAAGCTCTGAACAAAGGTAGCTTAAAATAAATCTGTACTATCATTAGGGCTTTTTCCCTTGCAGATTTTAGTGTCACAACTTGAGATACTCGATCTAATGGTGTTTCAAGGAGTTGTAGCTCAGCTGCCAGTTGGCACACAGATGAAATTTGGCATACAGTTCCTTTGCTCTGGAGCACTGTTACTCTGTTTTGATATTATGTTTAAATTGCTTTGACTATTGTATATGTATTTTTCAAAGCGGCACCTCTGCTATATCTCATAGGTTAAGGTTTGAAACTGTTTTAAGGTATCAGGCTTTCATTGTACATTTACAAATCCAGTGCAAAGCTTTGAAATGTGTTTTTTACTTAGATTACAGAAGCACTCCCCAAAATGCCCGTTATCAATTTTCACATGGGTGCAGGTAACCTACAAAGTGTATTTTAGAATATCCATTGAATGCAAATCTAAGAAAGTTAAAGCAGGTATCAAAGTTATGAAGGTGCCCTCCCAGTGAGTGAACAGGGAAGGGCAGGACCCCAAGAAAGGGGTCAGGGCAGAAAGATGACTTGTTACATTATCTAGTGATGTCTTATAGTAGTGTCACAATACAGCCCGTTAAACCTCAGAGAGTTGTCCAAGGCTAAGTTAAGACGCACAAAAGCAAGACCATTTAGACTCAGAACAAAAATTGTGGCTGGTGTAGTTATTCTGCTTCATATCACCGTGCACTTTATCTTAAAAATAAAATTATCTAGCCTAAGTGCATTGCATCAACTGGGATTTTTAGTCTTAACTTTGACTTTGTGCTGATCAAGTGGAAATCGTTATTAGTCACTCACAAGCATTTTCAGCCGTGCCAGCCATTTCTTGCAGCAAGCTCTAACCGCTGAAAATTCCACATCAGTGTTAAAAATAAATTAAAAAATTGCTCCAGACTGGAAAGGCAGCTTTTGGAAAAGTTCATTTCTCATTCAGAACAGGAGCCCTTTGTTCTTTAAGCGTTGTTTTTGTGTTTCACACGAACGGAGCCCGTGGAGAGGACCAGGCCCGTTCCTGTGCCGCCTCTGAGCGCCGTCCCCAGCAGCGCCCGGCGCAGCCCGCCGGAGCTCTGGCCTCTGCTGTTGTTTTCTTTTTCCTCTTCTGAACCTTGCCACCCTGGCTCCAGCGCTGAGGCTGTAAAAGAAGATGGAAAGCCAAGTTACCGCAGAATGATCACTATCATTAACATTCACGGGTGGTTCACTTATCATTCCTGACTGCACAGACATGGCAGCCGTTATGAAACGTCCACAGGTGTAGCACGATGATACATATTACATTGTGCCACAATGGATTTATGTATTCTGTAACAAAAGAAAAGTGTAATGAAAAAATACAGAAGGTAATCCTTTATTCCTCTACTGCACAATTTATCAGTAATGCCTGTGGATGATAAGTGCCAGGGATTTCCTTTGCTTGATTTAACCTTGTCACCCAGGTATGTTTTTGCAAAATGACAGAGAATACAAGCTGAGGAATTTCTTTGGCTTCCAATTTGTAAGCAGCAGTTTTAATTGCTCAAATAGCATCTGCTGGTCTGTCCCGTTTCCCAGTGCGTAGACTTAAAATAGAGGTATCACAGTAAGTGATAGTAAGCTAAAGCATGTAATTTATAATCAGGAATATGCTGGAGCTGGGGTGAGTGAGGACAGTTCATGCACATTATCGATGTGGAGTG